GGCGGGCAAAGAAGATGAAGCTGGACTCTTCTCAGTGGTGCCCAGTGAAAGGACAAGAGACAGTGAGCATACATTTAAATTACAGGAAATTTGGTTTGGCTTGAATGACACTTCAGACTGTAGCATAGATAATAATTGCGCAGTTAAATAAGTGGTTTGAAAACATGTCCTTATGCAAACTGTATTTCTCTGATTTTATTTTAGCTTTGTGCACCTTACTCATTAACATTTCTAGACTTGTATCCACTGAAGAATGTTTACTTTTTGTGACTTCTTACTCTGTTTTTCCTTGATCCTATGAACCTCTAACTGGAAACAAACAGGATATAAAACAGGGAGATTTCTGTTTTCATTAATGTAGTCTTGCAACTTCAGGGCCTTGGATATATGCTTCTGTTGTGTTTGTTTTTGGGGGATTTTTTAATTTGGCTTCCTAAAGAAATGAGACTTAAAGTTGCACTCTCCTTTTATTACTGTCTCTAACCACCTTTAAATACTTTTTGAACCTGTTGTTCAGTTTCAGCCACATTTAATATGGAGTGTATGTCTCAAAGATCCCACAGGGTTCATAAACAGACTCTCTCGTAAAAAGGATCCTGTCTTTGATCTCACTGAGCAAAGGGCTGCAGCATGGGGTTTTCCCCCTTACTAAAAGTCAGAGTGCACACTGACTGGGAGATGCTGAAGGATTTAATAAATTATGGTGCTTGTTCTGATTTAAGCACCTGTGTGTTACTGTAGTAGAACAGTGTTTTACTGGACAGCAGGTTGCTTGTATGAGATACACAGCCCTTTGTTATGGTTTTCATTAAATTGTCATGTTAAATGAGTTGTGGAATCAACTGATAGGTGATAGAATAGTGTGATCTCTACTACCTTTTGAAAATGGGAATTGTGTCTCTCGTACCTTCATTTGAAAACTATTATGGTTATCTCGAAATTTAGAGATTCTCACATTTTTACATGGTCTGTAGGTTCAGTTACACCTTTTAAAATTGAAATGACTAAATCAACTGAAGCCTCCTAGAAGCTGTAAATGAATAACACATTTAGTTTCTTTTATGAATGTAATGTAACATGTCCCATGATTAAATACTACTACAACTGGATTTTCCGAGCAATTTCACTAATACTTGGAACAGTCAGAGCTCCAGATGCAATCTTGGCTTTTTTTGGCAGTCAGTCCAAAGGAGGAGGAAAACAGATTCCAAAAGAAAGCAAACTAATTTACATACTGTAAGCATGTGCGAAAGTTTGTTTTGGAAATGCCCTCAGCCACCTGGGATTGTAGACTTGGATTAAATGAGTTAACCCATTGCCAAGTGACACTGCATATATATTAATGATCAAAGATTCTACATGATTTTCTGAAAGGTATATCTTAGACTATAGTTCAACAACATTATGACATTTTCAAAATAAAACCAATAAGCTTTATTTCTGTTCAACACACTTACATGTACAATTTTTCTGTTCTTTGACTTGATGATCTGAGCAGGTTAATGATTGTTTTAAAAAAAGAAAGCTATCTTGGCCACAAGCCAGTATCTTCTGCTTTGGTGATAATTCATTTGCTGTGTAGCAAAATCCATGAGTGGATCCTGTCTAATTTTGAAGTTGCATGTGAAAATAAACCTGATTCAATTCTGTAATAGCATGACTACTGCTTTAGGGTGTTTTCTATCTCTTGATTTTTCATTATTTCACAAAATAGTATTAAATAGTGACCCATTTACGTTGTTGTGCAGAAAGACTGTAAATGTTCCATAAGTGACAAAGGTGTCTGAAAGGGTGGGTGGTTTTTTTCCTAACTTGGAATTCTAAGATTTAATCTCAGTAGTCTTCATTCCTTCATCTGCAGAGATGGAGTAAGTATCACAAGAGATGTGTAAGTATCACAAAGCTGACAGCTTAAGATGTTAAGACAAGGATGTTCCAATACCAGATAACATATTAAAATATCTAGGTGTGGATTTTTTTTCAAGTTGGTCTGGGGTAAAATGGTTCATTAAGTCGAGTTAGTTCTGAGTTTTTTCTTCTGTGTCTTTATAAGCAATTCTTTGTGATGATTAGTGTTACCAATTTCATTTCTAGATGATTTTTTGACTTCTTAGTTGGTACATTGATGTAATTTTTGTTTATCATGTTTTCACTTTCACCTTTTTGCTTCCCTTTCTCTGTTTGTTTACAGTCTGCCACATTTATACTAATTCCAAAGTAACTACATTTTCAAATCCTTTTTTTATTGTTTGCTGTTATATACACAGACATGCGTGCAGTTGTGGTCCCAGCAGCTCCTTTCCCAAACATTTAATCTACATTTTTTTCTATTTGATTTGCTGTCCTTTTGACAGTGCCTTTGCCTACAGACACAATTACCTTCTTATACCATTTGTCAGTATGTGTGGGTTAAATAGAAGCAATGTAAAGCTCATTTCCCTCTAGAACTCGTATTTGTGGGTAGTTCTTTTGTTTGGCATAAACTGAGGTAACATTTTACTATGGATTTTTTTTCTTCTTTTTCTAGATTTGCATGGCAATACTTAGGACATACATTAGTATCAAAGAATCAGGCCTTCTAAAACGTGCAGGTATGATACAGTAGTAGCTTTTGATGTATCTTTGATACTTAGCTTGTTTACAGCAAATTGAATAAGCTGTCAGGAGGGAAATGGGTGCCACTTCAACAGTGAATAAGAAGTTCTGATTTCAAAGGAATACATCCAATCCATGTGTTTTCATGTTCCAATTTCCTACTGAGGCTAGGTATTTAGATACACAGTTATCTCAGGAGGTTGTTGTAAATCTGACTTCCACGGAAAATGAACTTAGCCTGAATGGAACTAGACTTGAGAGTAGAAATGAGTAACTGGGGCAGGGGAGAGGTTTAACAGAACCAAAATTTTGTTAAGGCACTTCTGAGCACGCTAACCAAACATCACAAATCCAAAAACTTTAGAATTAAGCTCTTGAAGTGAAGTGCTGTTGCAAACACCCAAACAGCTTTAGTTTAGTCTTTTCACGTTACCATATATGCAAACAATTATGATGTTGATTCAGATGCATCTGAGCTTTTGAGTTCAGTCAGAAAGGGCTGAATTTTACTCTGCAGTGTCATTCCTTTTGTACCTGTCCTAAACAGTCTTAAGTTTTTGAAAGCTTATTGGAATGTAGCACAATGTGAACGTGGGATCCAGTTGCACCCTGTGTAGTAATGTTCCCATGCCAAAATACAGAGCATTGTAATGCAGGTAACACTGGGTACCAGCAGGCTACAGTATGTGTCTGTTGAGGCTAGCATTGGAACAGGTTGTAAGACGATCCACCATGATAACACTGCACTTCACTTCCTAGAGCTTCATGTCTGGAAAAGCCTTACTACCTTGATGCGCCTACCAAATCTAACCTGGTTTTGTGTGTTTTCTTGTGTTGCACCAAATCAGCTAAGCTTTCTTGGAACCTACAGGGCTTATGGTGTTCAGCTTAATGACATGAGATATTTCAGAATAGTCGGTCTGGGTCTAGTAAGGTTAACACTGTATTCAAACTGGATCCTTTCACCCATTTTTCTCCATATCCCTGTCCCATAATATCCTGGATAATTAAGGGTTGTTACACTGCATTTAAAATTTAAGGAAGTAACTTGTTTAAATAGCATCAGTTACCCCAAAGTGAAATTAATGTACTTGCTTTTCCAGTCCAAATATTTGTGAAATATTACAGAGAAGTTACTCCTGGTGTGGCTTTTGCTTCTCAAGTCCTGAATGATCTTCTCATTTCTTTGCTCAAGAGGTGTTTGTTGCAGGAAGTATTTCAGATACTGAATGTCACTGTACAAATCAATACACTGGTAGGTGACCTTGTAATATTTTTAAAATCTTTTGATCCATAGTTTCTTAGTTTTTTGAGTACTATGCCATTTGTAGTAATAAGTTTGTTTTTACTTTGGTAGTCAAATCTTGGGGGGAAAAAAAAGCAATTCAAAAGTTCCTATTATAAAAACTCTAAGCTGTCTAATTGAACAGAGTTGCAAAACTGATTGTGCTTTTTTGTCTAAATTAGCCAGCTGTAGATGTGCTTCTGAAAGTTTTTGAGCATGTGGCTTCTTTGCATATAAGAGACGCTGTGCCTACATTAATCAGTACCTTTTGTAAGGTATGAGTTTGATTGTACTACTGCTCCTTGTTGGAATTTCTGAAATACCTTGCCTGTTTTAAAACTCAAACAGATCACTTTAATATTATTTCAGTACTATTTTTTTAAAGTTATATTGTGACTAGCTGAATTTATGGTACAGGTTTCCATTTATCCCTTTTTGTTGACTGAGACTAACTGTGACGTGTTTTTCCCACTGTTGCTTGCCACTTGCCTCTGGATCACAATTTTTTGTATGCTTACTTTTCTTCACCCTGTTTGATATTACAGCTCATTGATGCTGGTATGTTGCTTGAGTTTGAACATTTTGACTATATCATTAAGTTCCTTCACCAATTGCAAGTTTCCAGTCAGGAAATAAATACTGTTTTGAACATAAAATCCAGGTATGTCTTTAAGGAGCTATTTTATAGTTATATCTGTCTAGTCCCTTCTTCAGGTTCTATTTTTATAAATTTATGTAAAAACATTAAAAGGCAATTAGAAAATGCAAATTTAGCGTTTTGGATGAAAATACTATGATATCATGCCTAATTGTGTTTTAAAGTACTGTCAAGCTACTGTGCTTCCAAAATCAAGGATTGATAGGTCAAAACTTAGATTCTGACCACAGTTACGATTAGGTTTTTTCCATATTGATCATCATTGTACAATCTGTTCCCAGCTGCGCTACAAGTTTATATAACTGTAGTCAAATTAGAAACAACATGGTTTAATATATCATTTAGGCCTGCATAAGCAAACAGTACTTCTGCAATAAACAACCCTTCTAGGCAATACGAGGATTAGTTATAACCTGAAGTAATTTTCTAGTTTCATGTACTGTGTGACTGCATAAACACTTGTGCCGATACAACTAGGGAGGAGGGTCATTTTTTAAGTACTGCTGGATTATGCTGAGGAAAATGTGAAATCACAGCCCAAATCTGTTCCAAAACAGTTGATGTCTCCCCATCACTTGCACAAGATCGTGATCCTTTTTTGGTTTTTGTATCCTCTGCATCGTACACGTACACACAAGTTGAGAAGCTAAATTTGCGATTCATAAAGCAACCTTTGATTCTTAGAGGAGACCAAATATGCAGCATCTACTGTGTGAAAACAAGCCATCACTGTTTCAAGTGAAAGCACTGTAGAAATTATTTGCTGCTTTTCATACTTTTCCTGTAGAGTACCTTTCAGCCACGGATCTTGGTCTTTTACCAGTGCAACTTACCACACATGTTGGAGGTAAATTATATCACTTTTCAGATCAGGAATCTTAGCCACAAAAGGAATGACCCCTTCCAGGTTGCCTCAGTATGTGTGTGTTTTCAGCACAAACTGAGAAAACAGCCTGTATCTATGAAGACTGAGCAGCTGTGCTACTTCAACTACATGTGTTAGCTCATTGATGTGTAGGTTATGTATTTCTACATGACAGCATCGCACTGGGTAGATGTATCCACTGTTTCAGTGGTGGCATCAGAATAAAATCGTATGCTCCTAGGTATTTGAAGCTGAATAGCACTTGCTTTCATGTAATTAACTTTTTTTTTCACCTCTATGTCAGAAATACGTACAATACAGTTCTGCATTTACTTAATGGATTGCAAGTCTTATTAATACCTTTCCAGTTACATTTCTACTGAAACAAGGGAGTATTTTCTGTGAAAATAGCTCTGCTCAATTATTTGCTTAATACATGTACTGACTTCCCTTGGCATGATTGTAAACGTGTGTGGTTTTCGGTGTCCAGTTTGCATAGTGACTAGTAAATAGGATCAAAAATCACATCAGTTTTTAGTTCATACATGATAATTTGTTGATCACCTTTTGCTAGTGCATAGTTCCATAGGATGTGTTAAAATCAAGTATTAATATTTTTTTCTTATGGAAGATTTCAGGAAAGACATCTTGAAAAGAACTGGGTTTTTGACTTCAACTTGGCAGTGGCTGAAATTCAGGTACAGTATGTGCATTCTTTAAGCCTGTTGGAATACTTAAACCATTACTTCTTTTAAACATACAATAGTCATTTCTATATCATTTAAATTTAGTGGGCTTTATTATTAAGTATATTGAGATGATGATAACAGAGCCATGTTTGGGAAAGATGAACGTGCAGGGGAAAACTGTCTTTGGCTTTTCTGTGATGTCAGTAATTTAATTTACATTTACATAGTTACAGTTTTTATCTTGGTTTTGCATCTAATTCAAAGATTTTATAATTTTAAGCAGTTATTTCCTATGCCTTACATTTGTCGTGCTTGTAATTGGTGGTGGTACATCATTCCTCACCAAAGAAATTGTTTTACATAGCAGGTAGAATTCATATCTGGTATAAAAAGGTACAGTTGTAAAAGGCTGTAATTGGCAGCACTAAGAAGGTATTTTAAAGAATAAGGAAATACTATAAAAAATTCTTTAATTGGACACTTGCATCTTTCATATTCAAAGGCAATTTACTTACTGTGCACAATTATAATACAGTTTACATATTATCATGCTGACTGCACAGATCCTGAGACCAAAATTTAAGAAGGGAAGAACCAGGACTGATTTATTTTTTAATGCTTTAACACCAAAGTCATCAAATGATCTGGCAAGCAAAAGACTAATTCATATAGAAACTAACAATCAATTTGGCATGC